AGGTAAATGCTAGTAGCAGATAGGATCCAACTTGAAACTTCACTTTAGGAATATTTTTTTTTTTACTCTTGGATCTTTCAGTTAAGGGTGTGCAAAATCTTGTCTGGACCTGAAGACCAGATCGGACTGGGTGTTGTATAGTCCATGGTCCTATGATGTTGGTACCAAATATCGTGGTCTGTGCCAGCCTGGTTTTGGTCCGGTCGTGATCCAGACCGGTACATTAAAAAATAATTATGTATAATATACAACTCAGTTAACCTAGTTCTTTTCTATTTGAATCTGCTCTTGCTGCTGTTTCTTCTTCTTCGAGTCTTTTGTGTTTCCGCAAATGTGCACCCTGTTTCCTTTTTTGCGAAAATCTTATGATGAAAGATATGATTGAGGACAGGGCAAATCTTTTTTTTTAGATAAGAGAGAAATATTATTATGTACAAAGGTACCAAGAGGGTACCTCCCCAATAATACAAAATTAACAATCGATCAGGTGGTTCATAACAGCCCCAACATCATCATCCCAATCAGTTATGTAATGACCAATCAAAATAGACCCAAAAGTATGAAACCAACTATCCCTAGTATTTACAATATCTGTTTGAAGACCTTTAAAAGCCCTAGCATTTCTCTCCCTCCAAACCACCCACATAATGGAAAGCGGGATAAGAAATAAATCTTTTTTCTTTTTACATAAACCAACTCACGTTCACAACTCCTTGCTACCACTACCCGCCATGGCCCACATCAAACCCATAATCCCATTCACATGCTCCCAAATTCTGTAGACCATAGGACACTGAAGTAACAGGTGATTGCAAGATTCTTCATCAGCTTTGCACATGTAGCACCTATTAGTTATTATCATTCCTCTCCTTCTCAGTGGATCATTGGTCGATTTTTTCTTTGACAGTTTCCCAAATGAAAAAAAGTCATTCTGGGCGGAGCTTTTGACCTCCAAATATGCTTAAACGGTGCTGTCTTGGCATTCTCTTCATCATTTTTAGCATTAAGATTATAGTAGGACTTCACTGAAAAACCTTTTTTCTTGTCCGGTTTTCAGATTCTTTTGTCATTCTCATTACTCACCTTATAAACAGCAAGCCACCGCAGCAAATTACAGAATTCAGCCTCCTTATCCTCCTTTAAGCTTCTTCTAACCTGAATACCCCACCCCCCTCCCCCTTCTCCACAAGAATATCCCTCTCCCTAGCAATCGCAAAAATCCTTGGGAATTTATCTTTCAGTTTGAAGTCACCAACCCACTCATCCTTCCAGAATTTTATTTCAGCACCATTACCAAGCTGCCAACGTAAGCAGTCATAAAAATTCTTGCAGTCGGAGGTGATTTTCTTCCATAAGCTAGACCCATGGCATTTATATTTCCCTCTCCTACCCCTATCCCTCTACCAATCACCCCATCTTGTTGCCACCACCCTCCACAATTTCCTTTTCTCATTCTCAAATCTCTAAAGCCACTTACCATGTAAAGCAGAATTTAATATTGAATAGATCTCAACCCCAAACCACCTTTATTGGTTGGCTTCTTCACGTCCTCCCATTTGACTAAGTGAAATTTCCTATGCCCCTCCTCATCGCTCCAAAGAAATCTGCACTGAATCCTTTCAAGTTTGGTGGCGATGCTTGCCGGAACAGTTAAAATGGATAGGTAATAGATGGACAGGGCAAAGATAAAGAGTGCTTATAAGATTCTGACACCTCTTGTATGAGAAGAACTTTGTTGAGCTCTTCCTTGAGCGCAGACAGCAGCTTTCTGAGCCCTTGGTTTTGACTTTAATGTTGCCCTAAGTCCAGGCTCGTTCTTCCTGTTTCATGCAGACTGCCATTGTTGAACAGCAGCATTTCTTCCTCTTTCACATGAACAGCAAGTGCGAACAACAGCCTTTCTTCCTCTTTCACGTGAACTGCAGCCTTCCTTTCTCTTT